GATCTATAAAGGGTGCTTTCTTTATTTGATCATCAACAGAAGCAAAATGCTAGGCCACAAACTTTTCTAAGCGCGACCAGATTCAAAGTATGCTTAAATGGGGGCATTGATGTATGTAGAAAAACAGGATTAAGATCCCATGCAACGCTTCGAAATGTAAAAGAAGAATAAGAAAAATAAGTTGAGATTCGACCTTTATGTCTAGACATTGCAAAATGCAATTCGTATTGGTATTTTTATTCCATCTCAGAGTGATTATAGACGTTATTATTAAGGATAATACAGTTTAAAGCTGTCCGGGTTTTTGAAGATAATGCCTCAAAATAAATCGAACAAGCGCTGTTTATTTCTTTATTAATGGTCTGTTTCTACTGTTTATCTATTTTCCTTGCCAACCCTCGAAAACGAATTTATTATGCATTTCACAGAGGAAGTTTGCATAGGAGAACTATATACAAATTATTTATTGGGCTTATTTTGCTTTCTAATGGATCCGTACAATATATGGCACAGCTTTAGGGGCCTGGAAGAGCCCCTACCGGGGGTTCCGGGGCGAAGCCCCAGGATGCTCTCAAGTTTATTTGACTTTCGAGAGAGGTTATTTCTTAAATGAAGTGAAAGGTCTCTTGAAAATAAAACAGCCCTTCATTTAATTTTAGAAATAAACTCTAATCCATCCCTTGATATTTAAATCGCACTGCTCCTACTATGCGTTTTTTCACACTCTCCTTGATCTATAAAGGGTGCTTTCTTTATTTGATCATCAACAGAAGCAAAATGCTAGGCCACGAACTTTTCTAAGCGCGACCAGATTCAAAGTATGCTTAAATGGGGGCATTGATGTATGTAGAAAAAACAGGATTAAGATCCCATGCAACGCTTCGAAATGTAAAAGAAGAATAAGAAAAATAAAGTGGAGATTCGACCTTTATGTCTAGATAATTGCTTAATGCATTTCGGATTGGTATTATCTTCCATCTGAGAGTGATTATAGACGTTATTTATATGGATAATAAAGATAAAGCTGTCCGGGTCTTTGAATACAATGCTTCAAAACAAATCGAACAAGCGCTGTTTATTTCTTTATTCATGGTCTATTTCTACTGTTTATCTATTTTCCTTGCCAACCCTCGAAAACTTATTAATTTATTATGCATTTCACAGAGGAAAGTTAATGATGAAACATATGGGCGCAGGCCAAGATTTATACCCACTCAAGTGTGAATTTGGCGCATCTTCCCTCATCTTCTTCAACCAGGAAATGGACTTCATTAATTGTAGCCTTAGGACAGGATGGTGACATAAAATTGATAAAAGAACATCATAATCAGATTATCCGACCCCAGAAACCCCATGAATTCATCAACTTTTATCCTACTGGTCCTTTTCCTTTTGATACTACGCTTGACCTTTAACTCGGATGGCGGTCATTTTTTATTTGGCCACTATGACCAGCATGACAGCCCCAAGGAGACCTGTAATTGATACAAGCACATCATAATCAGATTCTCTGACCCCGAAAACCCCTTTTATTTAAACTTTTATCATTCTAGCCCATTTCCTTTTGAAACTACACATGACCTGTAACCATCAGATGACGGCCATTTTGGATTTGACCAATATGACCAGTATGGCAGCCCCAAGGAGACCTCAAATCGATGAAAGAACATCATAATCAGATTCTCTGACCCCCAAAACCCCATAAATATAACTATTATCATACAAGCGCTTTTCCTTTTGGAACTACGCTTGACCTTTCACTCAGATGGCGGCCATTTGGATTTGCCCAATATGGCATACCCAGAGGGCGCCCTTCACTATGAAAGCGGACAAAATATACAGTTCCTCAGGTAGACAGAGGAACATCCCTTCACTGGCATTATGTAAAAAGGTGAATATGCATGTGACACCTGTTCTACACATTTTAACACAATAGCAGTGAAGGGATGTTCCTTTGTCTACCTGAGGAACTGTATATTTTGTCCGCTTTCTTTGTCAGTCATATTCATAGTGCTTCTTGTATGGTATAATCTACCTCTGGGCCAAATTTGGTGCTTTTAGAAGAATCTGCACCAAACAACCCAGAAACGGGAAAAGAAGGAGATCGGGGGGGGGGGGCCGAAAGGGTCTTGCCTCCCAGGCTGTTGCCCTCCCCCCAATCAAAAAAATAAGAGAGATACTGGCGTACTGGAAGGGGGGGGGGGGCCTTGGGGGAAATCAAATTCAAACGTGGTTTAATTCTAATTCCATAACGGTGGATTACAAATAATGCTGAAATGACATAATTTCCGAAATTTTTCCTCACTTTTAAGTAAATTATACTTTTTATGTGTTTGTTGGAAAATTACGAATTCCTAAATTTACAGCCAGGCAGGGGAACGGGAGCCTCGACCCCCCCCCCCCACACTTTTTTTGAAAAAATATATTAAAGACAAATTAAAAAGAAAGAGAGCAAGAAAGAAAGAATAGTTAACTGCCATTCTCAAAAAATAATGAGGCATCAAAATATGCTCATCTGACCGTGATTAAATGCCTAAGTGTCTGACATGAGTGTCAGAAATGAATTATTGATTTGTTGATTTTTCAACGGTTCAACTTGTATTTTCAATCATACTATGTATTTTAAAAGCCAATTTATGTTATGTAAATAAATTACCTTGGAAATATATTTTTGTATGTGTTTCAAATGAAAATCAATAAAATCCCTGTGGAGGGAAAAATATGAAGAAAAAAAAATTAAATGCCTAAAACCCCTAAGCTTCCGGGGTCGGACAAGGATTCTACATGGGGCCCTAAGGCGGGCTCCTGAATGCTTATCTGACCGTAATTGATTGCCTTAAACCCCTGAGCTTCCGGGGTCGGACAAGGTATCAAAATGTGTTTATTTGACCGCAGGCGCGTAGCCAGGAAGGGGGGGGGGGCGGTAGGGGCGGTCTAGGGAGACTTAGATTACCTATAGAACGGAAAAGGTACCTGTCTGCTTTGATTGGTATGGGACGTTTGATATATTCAGGAATAAGATTATTTAAACTTTTGTACATCATAATTTATATATGTTCTTCTTGGCGGACACTTAGTAATTTCCAATGTAAGACTTCATGGATATGATTCTTCCTGCTCTGTTCTGAAGGTTTTGCAACATATCTAGATTTTTTTTTTGGAAGGGGGGGGGGCAGACTGCCAGATTATATCGGTGTTATCAAAATGGGGAAAAATAATTGAGGAATAAACAATTTTTAAAATAGATTCATTTACAGAATGTCTCAGTCTACCAAGAAAACCTATCATTTTACCAATTTTAGAGCACATTTGTTCAATATGAAAATTCCACTTAAGCTCTTTATCAAAAAAAAATTCCAAGGTATTGTACTGTTTCTACATTTTTAATATACGTATTTTGAATTCTTAAATCTAAAACATCATGCCTTGCTAGCATTTGTCTTGTTCCAAAAGACATGCATACAGTTTTAGTACAATTTATTTTCAAATTATTTCTATTCATCCATTTAAACACTTTGGTAAGTTCGGAATTCAAAGTTGTCTCAACAACTTTAGGATCTTTATCAGAAAAATATAAAACACTATCATCTGCATAAAAATGGAAAGCACATTTGTCAAATACAGGAGCTAAGTCATTAATAAATAATACAAAGAGAATTGGCCCAATCAAACTCCCCTGGGGCACCCCGTTGTTAATAGAATATTCATCCGAAAATGTATTATTTAAAAAAAGTAGTGATTTTTCTTTTCGACAAATAACTTGAAAACCAGTCCAAAGATTTACCAACTATACCAAGCCGAGCTAGCTTGGATAAAAGTAGCTCGTGATTGACCATGTCAAAGGCTTTATGTAAATCGATGAATACCGGGACGGTGTAATGTCCGCTATCCATGGCTTGGAGCCAGTTGTCAGTTACTTTCAACAATGCTGTTGTGGTTGAGTGCTTAGCTCCAAATCCTGATTGCTCAGGTACTAACAATTTGACGTTTCATTAAATTGTCTGATGTTCAGTCATGCGTGAAGGGATTCAAATGAAAATGGTACCTAAATGTACTGGGAGGATAACTGTATCAAGACATATGAAACCCCTGATTAAATAGTCAAACTTCAAACAATACAACTTTTAAAAAGTGGGACATTTTTTCTGACTCACCCTGTATAACTTCAAAACCTTGTAAAATTATATTAAATAATAATACATATTGTCATTATGGTATAAATAATTAATGCCTTCCAACTGTATATGATTATGTTTTGTCTCTGTGATAATAAGTAACCCAGACGTATACTTGCTTTGTTATGCATTTGTGATAGTTTGATAACGAGATGTAAAAATGGAAAGGTGAGATTTGTTATCATATATTTCATTTGTGTTGAAGTAATGTAGCTACAATATCTTGTAATATTATGTAAAATTATATATGTTATAATTATGTGTTTTTTGTGCATTGAATGAACCATAGCACATCTTTCAAAACAAATAAAAAGTAACAGTGCATTCAGACAAAGTCATACAAGTGTTGGCATAAATATTTCCCCTGGAGGGGCTTGGTGGTAACGCTACTTCTCAGTCTAAGTCAGAAAACTTTATTCCTGTCTTGGTGTTACCACTTTCTCTTGCTCAGCATGCCACCATGGGCGGGGCTTTAGTAAAAAAAAAAAAAAAAAACTTCAGTGCTCGCCTTCGTGTATTCAAGGACGAATAGGCCTATATCATTGTCCCAGGAAAAGCAGCGATGGGCGGCGTTCCATTCTTTCCTTCGACCAATCATAACCTACCAGTCACGCATTTCAGATGATATGTTTATGTCCTGCGAAATTCGGGTGTGTGGCCTGATGATATTTTGGACAAATCTGAGTGGCCTACGACACTTTCATTTGATTGGTTTATTTTCCTTTTGATCATTACTGATGGGATGGGTGAAAATTGTCCTTTCCACCAATCAAAACCCAAGTTTGATATACTGTGGGGATGTATTCTACTTGTAATACTATAAATGTGGGCATCCAATCCTTCCAGCTTCATATCGAGGATCCAGCAGGCAGTTGCACAGCAAGATTGGAAGGACAGAAAATCTCCGAAAGCTTTTGATACTGTGAGCAGGGTGAGTATATTTTCTCTCTTCCTCTAAGTATCTCTATCAAATATCATGCATGGCATTTTGGCCGCATATATGTTTCTAGATCAGATACAGTTGGCCTGTAAGGAATAAGTTGCTTCCTGTTGCACCATGGAAGGGTGAAATAGAAGTAGTATTATTTGACATCTTTGAGTGATACTTTGAGAGATTACAATAGAAAGGGTAATTGGACGATTTTAATAATACGCCAACATTACAACTATTTGAATATCATGGCTAGCTCATCATTATTTCTGATCTTGTTACCACCGACCTACCAGTTCTAAGTAGCTTTCTCTATAAACCATTGCCGTATTTGTATTGTGTCAGTAAGCAGTAAAGGGCCATAGTCATTTCGTTTATCCTCCTCGTTATTCCAACAACAAGCTGAATATTCTCTTTCACATTATTTTTGAATTTTTAGTTCTTCTTTGAGTCCGACAAAACGTCTTGAACATGGCCCAACTTTTCTTGTACATGGCACTCGCTGCTACATTCGTGCTTGTTTCAAGCATCCCGCATTGTAAGTATACTTTTTTCTTTGAAATGTACCAATATATAAATAATAATATTACAAATATTTAAGAGTGATTTTTACACAGTCTCACAACTTAAAGTTAGGATACATTGCACATGACATATTACATGACTCTTAAGCATGTTAATTGGATTATTCATAGTCCCTCCACGCCCTCCAACCAGACAGGTAAAATACATTATATAAATGAGATCTAGATTTAAAAAAAGATGCCGATAGTTTTGCAGACCATGACATGTTAGTTGATTAAAAAACGCTATTAATTTTTTTTTGCACTTTCACTTAGATTTTTTTAGAGACTTTCTTTTTAAAGGAAGAAAGTTGAACCATACATGTCTGTATTTATAGAAGGACCATGCAGAATATGAAAGTAGTCTAGGAGGGCATTTCAAAAGCACTCAATTCTATCAGATGCCTTTATTACCATGCTCTTTCGGCATCCTCATCGTACACAGGCGCGTACGCAGGGGGGGGGGGGGGGGGGTTAAAACCCCCTTTCGATTTTCTAGTTTTTTTTAATTTTTTTATGCCAATGGCTGACCTAAAAAAGGTGACCTTACCCCCCCCCCCAACGGAACAAAATGTCAAATTTTCAAATTTCGAGACCCCCCCCCAAAAAAAACCAGTGTGCTCTTACCCCCCCCCTCCCCCCCCCGCTTATTCAGCGTCTGGCTGAGTTGTTGCGATTTTTTTGGAACCCCCCCCCCCCAAAAAAAAAAAAGTGTCCTCTTACCGACCCCCCCCCCCCCCCCGCTTATTCAGCGCCTGGCTGAGTCGTTGCGATTTTTTGAGACCCCCCCCCCCCACAAAAAAAAGTTTCCTCTTACCACCTCCCCCCGCTCATTTAGCGGTTGGCTGAGTCGTTGCGATTTTTTTGGCCCGATTTTACCCCCCCCCCCCCCCTTGAAAAATTCCTGCGTACGCCACTGATCGTACATAACTTATTTCGAGTAACTTATCCAACTAAAGCTGTTATGAATGTAGTTTACCATCACTGTATGATTATGATTAGTAAATTGATTTCTGTAAAATTTTAGCAGTGAGAAACAAGTTTCCGAATGGTCAATAAATCTTTAATTTCAATTTAATGTCATTCTCGCTTAAATGAATAAAAGAATGCGAAAGCCCACATTAATCATTTTTTTTAGGCACCGACGATCCAAATGGGACCAACTACAGGGGAGAGTTGGCCCAGACCATCTCCGGTAAAGAATGCCTATCTTGGACCTCTCCGAACCCAAAGATTAAAGCCCTGACACCCGCCAAATACCCTAATGCGGGCCTTGGAGATCACAACTACTGCAGAAACCCCGACAATGAATTCACCGCCTGGTGTTACACCACCGATCCTGATACCCGATGGGAGTATTGTGCCGTTGGTGATTTCAGCCAACAATGCACGAGTAAGTATTGTATAATTATATATGCGAATAAATTCAGAACAAAAAATATAGTGGACGCTATATAAAGATATTTAAATAGAATATTGAATTCGAGTTATTTTTCATATATATTAATAACATAAAGTAACCCCTCTAAGATGATATGGAATTTGAATCATACCACTAATGACTCATGCATGAGTTTGCATAGTTATTAATTAGTCTCTGAAAGAAAATAATTAAAATCGCATCCTACCGGGTATCTCTATGGGTGGAGAGAGCCAATTTAGCTAAAGTGCCTTAATTGAGGACATGAGTGACTTGCCGGGGATCGAACTCACGACCTTCTTCTATATCCAGTCAAGTTAGTGTTTAAACCAATCGACTACGAAACTTCTACTTATTCCACATTGAATTAGGTCGAGAATGCTCACCTACACTCTGCCCGTGACTACCGAGGAGACGTCTCGACTACTAGGAGCGGTCGCGAGTGCCAAAACTGGACCTCCCAGTCGCCCCATCGTCACAGCATCACGCTACAAAACAACCCTAGCTCTGGCCTCGGTAACCACAACCTCTGCCGCAACGCCGGCAGCTTTGTAGCTTTCGCCTGGTGCTACACAACCGACCCCAGTGTCCGTTGGGAGTTCTGCAACATCGGATTGCCCGAAGGGGGTTGCTAAATGGCGTTTCATTGTCTCCCTAAAATGAGCGGAGGGGGAGGGGGTGTTTCTTGAATCTTGTCATGTTTGGTCATCGTAATTTTGCTCATTCTATCATCTTTGGAAACAAGGGTGACTTTGTAGGCCGTATGGTGGCTGACTTACTGCTATGATTATAACTTCCTATATAGGTTTCACTGTCTGTCATTAATTCTTAATGGAATACATACAAAGGTTAAGGGGCAAAGTCATTATTGTTCAAACCTCTCTACGAAAAAGTCCCGCCCCCCCCCCACTCAGTGTTATTTAGGGTACGCATAATAATGCTCGTTCCCTCTTTTTGAAAGCACCCCCTATCTGAGGACTGCCAACATTTCCGAACCCCCCTTTCGCGGGCTTTTCGCGGGCTTTTCCTGCCTTGGAGACCCCCTAAATTCGGAAAAATGCTCAATGTACCCCCCTTAATTCGGAAAAATGCTCAATTTACCCCCCTAAATTCGGCCGAATTTTTAAGGAGTCCAAAGAGATGAGAGAAAAAAGAAAAAATACCCCTTTTTAAAGAAATCTCCGGGTGAAAGTCAAATACACCCCTTTCTTACAATTCTCGGGCCGGACTTTGACGCACGAAAAGTACCCCTTTACCGGACATTTTGGTAACACTCATGCGGTCATTTCGACCCCGGAGTGGGGGGGGGGGGGGCGGGGAAAAAGTATAGACCTAATTTCCTGTTCATATTTGAACAATTGCTAACAGTCTTTATTATTAAGGTGTAGGTCTTTGTAATTATAGAGGTGTTGTTGATCTATTTATTTCTATTGTTCGGAGAGGAAGTTTTAAATGTCTCTATTAAGTGGAATATATTGCAGACAAAAATAACAAAGAAACAAATAGAAAAGAAATAGAGGGAATTGGAAGAATAAATGTTTCATTACTTCACCATCACAATTTTTTATTTCATTGATAATATGACAGTGTAACTCACAATGGAGAAACAGTAGTCACAACATTTCTTCGCAATTATTAACCAATGGAAACGTTGCTGTTTTTACGCTTTGAATTTGTATTAGACTTAGAATGAAATCCTAGTATTGAGCTGTATCGGCTATGGTGTATTACTAGATTAAATATTTCATACACTGTTGGTCATAATGGTGGAATAATTATTTTTACCCCAATTTATTGAATGATTTTGACAATGATTTATTCCTAATATATAGATCTATAGATATTAGTATACATTCTCAGATTTTATTGAATGACAATTGGGGAGTGTTTGTTTTGCGTGACTGCTAAATCATGTGTGTGCTACTATGCTAATCAACTAGGGGACCTACGTTCTTAAGTCATAACTGACAGTAATAGGGATTAATGCCTCATAAAAGGACACTAATATAGCACATCGACACGGTTTTGATTCTGGGGGCTCACATTAACGAGACCATTGCTTAGCCAAGAAATCATGACTGTACGCAGCGGTCGCTAGGGTATACGTCGACGCCCCCACAAAAACAAAAAAACAAAGAAAATGCAATAAATTTTCAATAATTCGTTGCATTTTGCCCCGAACCCAATATAAAAAAGCAGTCACGCAAAACAAACACTCCCCAATTGTCATTCAATAAAATCTGATAGTGTATACTATTATCTAGATCTATTAGGAATAAATCATTGTCAAAATCATTCAATAAATTGAGGTAAAATTAATTATTCCACCATTATGACCAACAGTGTATATAAAATTAACAATCGTTTAATGTATCAATACTGCATTCATTGATAATGATAACGTTACACCACCCCCTGTGCAAACATTGTTTAACAATAAAAGACGATTGAAACATCTCTAGCACAATAACAATGTTGTGTTTACTTTGTTGTATTCCTGTTTAATGGACAAGTTTTTACACAAAATGGTAATTTCTTTGTCGTTACCCGTTCTTCACTATACGTTTATTTACTATATAATGGTCGGTTGGAGGAGGAGGGGGGGGGGGGGGGGGGGGTCAAAAAGGCAATGGTTTCCATGCCAGCAAAGAGAAGATGGAGAGGAAACGCAGATTGTAAATATGAAAATGGGAAGGAATAGGAGGAAGAATGAAAGAGCAAGAGGAGAGAGAGCTAGAGAGAGAGGGATAAAAGAAAATGTAAGAGAAAACTAATAGAGAAAATAGACAACGGAAAAGGAAACACAACGAGAGGAATAAAGGAGAATATAATATAAAACTAATAGAGAAAATGGAAAAAGGACAAGGAGAAGAAAAGAGAGAGAGAGAGAGATTAAAAGAGAGACTTATGTGTGAGAAGGAAACTAAGAAAGAGAGAGAAAGAGAGAGTGAGAGAGAGAGAGAGAGGGTGTATGTGTGTGTCTGTGTCTGCATGTGTTTGTGTGGAGGTGGAAGAGAAGGATAGGGGGAGTGTGTGAGAGAGAGAGGGAGAGAGAGAGAGAGAGAGAGAGGGAGAGAGAGAAAGAGTATGGCAGCTATATATAGAGAGGAGAATTATGTGAGAGAATGAAAGATGGGGAAACAGAGACCCAGTGAGCGACATAGACATATAAACAGAAAGAGATATAGACAGAGTTAAAGACTTTGGGGATTAAAGACAGGTTAAAAGATTGGAGAAAAATTAGAGCTGTACCCCTGTACCTGCATGTCCCAGGATTGTATCAGCTACAGAGCGTGAACAATGGCCTCAAGAAATTCAGCAACAAAGAATATTGCTGCACTTTCGCGCGAAATCCCGTTTTTGCTAACACAAATAAATCCATCTGCACGCCGCCGCAACCATGCAACCTTTAAAGGTCAGAAAGTTCACACCCAATATGCAAATGAGATTGATCTTCATGCCTCATTGACATTTTATCGATTATTGGGGTCAAAGGTCGTCTGAGGGTTATGCGCGCGCGCTGAGGTTCATTGGACTTTTCCACTAGCCAGACGGGTGTGTCGTGAAAATTTAGGTCAAGGTCAGTAACCTTATTCACAATTGTCTTGCAGTTTCCTTCAATATTTTGCCTAGTCGATGGTGGAAACTGTTTTTTCAGTGAAACTTTTGATTTTTTCTTGTAAGAATCTAGGTACAAAGCTAATGCTTGCTTTATATTCTCAAAATTGTTATGACAAAAATCAACTACCTCTCATTGAGACTCACGTACTTCCTCTGGAGAATGCATTCGGCAAGAAGTCCGCGAGGAAACCCCGCGAACTGACCGATTATCGATTATCAAGTCCATGAATTGTGTGACGTCATGATGAACTGTTTTCACCGAAAAATAGCACGAAGGTAAGCACATTCAGCCACAAAATTTGTCCTTTGAATAACATGATTTTGCAAAGATATTGAGTTATATGATGAAATGTGTGTTAAATGACCTAACTGCAACTGAATGGTTAATTTCTGTCAAGTATTAGTCGTGAAATCGTACGATGTTTACTCGCTATGTGAGAGTATTTTTCGCGACTTCACATGTATTTTGTGCGGTGTGCTGTCTGATGTGACTTCGGCCAGGTAAAAAATGCGTTGTGTTGTGCTCGTGTGTGCAGCTTCAGTGCTAGTTTAGCAGGGCCCTCCTTCGACCAAGCAGACAGATACATGGCCGACAAATGTTGCATGGTGAAAAATTTAGCCTGTTGAGTATTAGGTAGGCCTATACAAAATATAAAAGTGAACATGCAGGTTGATGTCAACAAAATAGATTATTTGTCTGGCATTAGTAGACTATGTCAAATATTTATTTTTGTTATGATTCACAATCAGTGAATCACATTCACACTTCAGCAGTAGGGGCGCTGGTCCGAGAATAAGGATCGTCTTCATAAACGAGGATCGTCTTCGTAAACACAGATCGATGCGTCCTCAAAAATAAGGACCCTCTGCATTTTCGCAGACGTTTCATATTTTTGATCGGCGCATTGGCGATGCAAAAAACGGATTCTGCAATGATTTTCTTGAATCATTTTGCATTGACTTTGTACAGAGATCTTCACATTATGAGCAATAAATCCTTGGGAAGACGGACAACCCATAAAAGTAGACGGTGAACTAGGGTTATTTTCCCCTGGGGAATCCATTTTTGGCATCGCCAGCAGGCCGTTCTGTAACATGAAACCCCCAGAGCGCCGATGAAAAAAAACGTCCTCGAAAATGCAGACAACCCTTATTTTTGAGGGCGCATTTTGTCTGCGTTTATGAGGATATCCTTGTTTATGAGGACGATCCTCATTCTTAGACCAGCGCCCCTACTGTTCAGAAGTTCAGAGCTACCAAGTACCATTGTGTCACGCATCATGCGTGACGTAGGGTCTGAAAATGCTCTCCCGCACGACTCGTGCGGGCAATTTCGAAAAACGCTTAACTTACGTTATACCCGTGCTCGCGTGCCGAGTCATGAATATGTCGCGCATAGCAGATCTTTGAATTTTGGCGTCTCTGATATTGCCTTATTGGTTGGTTGGTCCTCCAAATTACTCGTCTGAGTTTTACGAATGCAGAATCTGCACCATTTTCCTTCAAAATTCTAGGCCTAGACTCTAGGACTGTTTATTTTCTGTGCATCAAAAACATAAATGTCCTATCGCACATGCTTTGTCTTTGATGGCCAGTAGATATACGGTGAGACACACACATGATCGCTCCATTGTGATGTCAGTTTCTGAATTAAAAGAGTAGATTTTGGCCAGTTTCCATGTGGGGAGCTCCATTCATTGATATCATTTTACGAAATCATCATTGGTGATACTAGGTACAAGTTCGCTGACATCCCATTGAAATGCATGTTAGATATAATACACACATTTGGAATGAAATTGAATGTTGATTAACTTTTATTTAAGACGGTTTTGTGAAACGATGCCCATGCCAATTATCCTGGCTCAAGCCTCTGGAGAGTCTGGGTTTTCCTCAGCGCTTGGTGGCAAAGTCTCTATTTTAAAGACTTTACTTAGACCTCTAGCACAATGAAAATGAGTCAGATCTGATATTAATTGTCATGGCAACATTTTATTTTTCAGGGTTTTTCTCAGTTTTTTGGGGGGTTGAGATTTTTTCTTCTTTTTTTTTGTTACAAAAAATGTACTTCAATGGTATTGATATAAAGTGAAAATAAATATGGAACAAATAGTTCAAAAATTGGGTTTCCCTTTCGAGCCAAAATTAAAAAAACCCTGTCCTATACTGTCCATGGTATTTGAATCTATTAACAGACTTAAAATCAAAATGGACGTAGTCGCATAGAGTTTACCTGTTAACAATTTTACAGACATGTGTATCCAAATTTTCTGTTCGGCTTTTCAAATTGAAGTAGATATGCCATGTTTGTTTTGTTTTAATGAATGGCACCTTTGCTCAGCGAAGGTTCTACACTTCGCTCTGTGTTATTAAGATACAGAAGTGTGAACCATATTAAAATTTATGTCATAAAATACCTGCTCTTGTATACCACCTCGCAACTTAATGAAGCCTCAATGTTAATGGTATTAGCAGGTAACTTACTTTCAAAATGGATGTTCTCTAATTTTGATGAACCCATTTTCGACGGGAACTAAGTGGTTCCGGGTTTTAGCCTATGGAAATGGGACAATTCAGGAGTCGATGTGTTAATATAATATTTCCTTTTATTTCCTTATGCCAGTGAAGCAAAGCTGTTCCCTAAAAGACTGCCGATCATACTGTCATCGTAGGAGATCTGTTTTGTGCGGTAACTAGCGAGGACGAAGGTCCCATCATGCAGGAGTTCAGGCATTTTGATCCACAGAAGCTGGAGCTGCTGGAAGCCCGCATCAAAGGCAACCGTTCTCAGCAGCAACCCATCATGATAGCTGATGATTCCAATCATAGCACCAGCACTTGTAGCCGCGGCTCACCCAGTGATGATTTAGAGGTACGTACGTGTAGGCACTCGTCAAATAACCTAACCCTGCTCCTAAACCAATATAGGCATGGTGAAACTCAGACCCATTGATTAGGAGAAATTGACCAACCTGGTTTGAGTATGGCAAGAACTGCTTTGTAGGGCAAGTACAAAATAAAAGAACATATGCTATGGTATGTCCAACTGAGACATAGGGTGCGTTTATTCACCAAATTTTTGCCTAGAATCAGGTTTCTCAAACGTCTTTCAGGCAAATTTTGAAGGTGATAAACGCAAAGCCTTTTTTAAACGTCTTTAGGTATGGGCATTTCTAAAGACGCAAAAAGGTGTGTTTTGAATATGACATACAGCCAGAATCACGATTCTGAGACATGATAAACGCAAAGCTGTTTTGAACCCCACGTACAAATCGGACCTTTCCCGGCTAATTTCCGGTCAGCGAAATAGTGCGCACTATGTGCTATGCCCTAGTTGACCTCCGAACAACTCTCTGCTTCCCGGGTCAAACGGTGCAAAGCAGCTGCGCAGAGACGAGGCCTTTATTTTGAATCGTAAAGAGACGATAAACACGACATCCCAAAAATCACATTCATATAGTGGGGTTCGATATGTACATATCTAGTGGCAAGACCCGATAAACGCACCCAAAGTTAGCCAAACTCTACATACAGGTACATGTGAAACGTATAATATAGCTATCCTCTACTGCTCTTCTACTGCCAACAACAATCAACAAATGCAGTCCTCCTGTCCGCAAGTAGAGAGCAGCAAACGACCAGATTTAATTTGTCCTTCCTCAAATGAAAAAAGTCTTAGATGTAATGCTCTAAATGTAAAATCTTCTGTGATGGTTTAGTTGATCTTAGGGTAATCCACAATGGGTTTATAGATGTAGCAGTGGAAGGTATGAATCTTCCTCTTTAGAGGAATGGAATTTTGTTTATGGAGCACCCTGGACCTACGGTAGGAAGTCCATACGTTTAGTGTTCCAGGCCTCCAGCGACATTTGCTTTACGCTCTACTTCATCAAAAATAGGTTTAGGAGCTGAGGTTGCAATTCAATATAAGATTAAGCTTAGAGTTCTAAGATGTCATATGGGGTTCATTGTTTGAAGTCAAAGAAAATGTGATTGCTCGGAATTCCTTGTCTGAATAAGGAATTTGTTGGCAAATCATTCATTGATATTAGTATGACATTGTATGATATCTGTGATTCATACAAAGTTTGTTTCGGAGTCGGTAGAATAGCCCGAAATGAGAAAATGATCAGTTCACAAAATCAATGAAAATAATGGTTTCTATGGCCCAGAGGCCTATTAATACTTGACTATGTGCAGTGATGTGTAAAAGAGTGTAGTACAAGTCAGGTGCCTAGGGAAAAAATTAATATTTATTTTTCGGGGGCTACTTTTCAAGCTTGCCTGCATAAAAATTACATTCTAAATTTGTTTTTCATTGAACTCTATGCAAATTTATGGGGGCTCTTTTCTAATTTTCGGGGGCTCTTTTGGCCATTTCGGGGGCAAATTCGCCCTGAGCCCCCGTGAATTTTTTTCACTGCAGGTGCCGCGGCAACTAGCATATTTTAAATCAACTCCTACAAAATAGTTGTAGGGAAATATCTCGATCTGTAACTTAGGAATTTCATATGACTTGTCTTAAGATTGAAGTATTATCATCTGCAGATTGTCATTTATTACAACGATTCTGATTTCATTTTTACAGGTCATGCAGGCAGAAACCCCAGAAAAGGAGAGAAAGAAGAGGAAAAGAAAAGGACAAGGACAAGATATTGATCCATCAGGTAATATTGCAATTCTACAATTACAATGATTTATAGAGATGCATGAATATTGTTTGTACAACAGCTCTGACTCATCGTACAAGTGTATTTCACAATACATTAATATACTGGAGAAAATTCCAGTGCATGTAAAGAGAAAACAAGGACATTTAATAAGTGCACGTGAGTATAATGAGGCCACACGCTAAAACGTTCTGTGAATTCTGCTATTTATACATGAATGTGAGCTCTACTTATGATTTCACTTTCACTGTGTTAAATAAAAGTATATTGCACGTGTGAATTCCTTGCAGGACACTTGTATAAGGATCTAATTATCTAAGGGCATACCCTGGTATTGTAAAAGTGAATAATATCCTGAATTAAAATCTTTTGGTGATGTCTTGGTAGACTGATGATGATCATTTACTCCGGTTCTAATTAGGGAATGAAAGTAACATATTCAAACTTCAAATGTATCTGTTTTGAGTTCTTTGTGTAATACTTCAGTAACATCTATGTTCTAATGTGAAGTGCAAAGTTAGAAATAATTTGTACAATACACTAATTTGTGTTTGTTGTTGTTGTTAGCGTAGTTAATGTACCGATAACTACTGGATAAAGATTATATTATATCTATTTTATTTCATTTTCTCCTAATTTCAGGTCCAAAGAAGATTAGTGAATATTTCAAGGTAAGTAATCCAGTGTCAACCCAATGTTCATCAAACAGCTTGCTACCTGGTTAATTAATTTTTGCCATTCGCTTTCCATAGGCAACTAGTTTTTGTCTCGCCTGCGTAGCAAAAAAGGGAGACATAGGCGCCGCTTTTCCGGTGACAGCGGCGGCGTCAACATCAAAAACTTAACCTAAGGTTAAGTTTTTGAATTTTTAGTATAATTTTGAAAGTATAAGTTCTCATTCAATGAAACTTGGACCAAAGGGATATTAAGTATTCCCAATCATGTGAGCAGAATTTCAGGTCACAAAATCAAGGTCAAAGGTCATTTCAGGTCAACAGACTTAGACTATGTTGTGGCATCATCATCGAAAACTTAACCTCAGATTAAGTTTTTGAATTTTCAATATAATTTTGAAAGTATAAGTTCTTATTCAATGAAACTTACACTACAGGGTTATCAAGTATCCCCAATCATGTGAGTAGAATTTCAGGTCACTAAATTAAGGTCAAAGGTCATTTCAGGTCAACAAACTTAGACTCTTTTGTGGCATCAACATCAAGATTTTGAAATTTTAGCATAATTTCAAAAGTGTTTGTTCAAATTTTATGAAACTGGTACACAAGGGTTATCAAGTATCACAAATCTTAAGACGCAAATCCCAGGTCACAGAGTCAAGGTCAATTATTAATCTTGGTACAAATTATAGTTAATAATCCTTCCGATGGCTCTTGGTCAATATTCACTTAAAAATGCTGATTATATTTAGAGGATTTCATTGGGGGGGGGGGGGGTAGGGCCTATGAATAATGTCCTATGAATAAGGGCCTATGAATAATGTCCTATGAATAAGGGCCTATGAATAATGTCCCAACCTCCATTTTTCATCATACTGAATTGCGTAATGCAGGCGAGAGCGTTTCCCTTGTTTTTTCTTTTTCTCTGTATCTCATTATTAGATAAACAACTGTTTTTCCATGTTGTCATAGTATTAATAATTGATCTGACAGGTCATACTACAGTAATCACTGTCAATCGATGTACTTTGAATTTCCAGGCAGCAACATCATTAAGTCCAGGAAGAACCAGTCTTGGAATAGGTATCTTACCCAAGTCACCTCCACCCAGCGCATATCCTAGTGTAAGTTATCTTATCTCTGTCTCCAAGGAATTTTACCAGCTTTAATAAAAACAATCATAATAGCTACATTCATATTGGGCATGTATCTATTTTAAAAGATACCTAAGGAGCCTAAAAACTAGTATTATCACCCTGGCTTTAACACACCTGCCCCTACATGTATTCCTACGTGATACCGATTTACTACACAGGTGGTTAGAGGGTGGCAGATGTAGATTAATATCTTGCCAGAGGACATTTGTGCTGTAGCGGGACTCAAACTGACGATCCTTGTGATCCACAATCCTGTGACGTATCCACAAGAACATGACACCTCTATTTCCTCTACTAGCAATATTATTTATATTTGTTTCACTGGAAGAAAGTTTAAGTGACAGTTAAACAAATTAAGTGTAAATATAAAGTTAAACTGCATTGTGAAACTTGTGAATGTGGACCACTGGAGATATTTTCCTAAGTTCTTTATAAAAATGGTTATCAATAACGAGTTATAATAACTGCTAAGCTACTGAAATTGTGGCATTGATTGGCTGAGAGAAAATTGCCATAGAAATTTAACATTTGTTATTGATAACCGTTTTTATGAAACGAGACCCCGGTTTTTGAGCAGCCAAATAGACAGTGTCGAACATTTGTGACTTGTTATAATTTTCATGTTGATAGTGAGTCAATGACTTGCATGTATCTGTATTCATACAATGACAATCGAAGGTCATCATGAGTCATTATGAGTCATCATTTGGCTATAAATTATGGACAAGTTCTCAGATATATTCATATTACATGGCGTTGTTTTATGTTATTTATACATGTACATTTAGTCATGTCGGTGTATTGTTAATAACACCTTAGAAAATTTACTCCGAGTATAGTAGAGATTTTGAAATTAGGCCATTAACATTCAAATAAATGTCATGTTCAAATATTTCAGGAATGACATATTACATGAATGTGCTGTAACTGCCTGCTTAATCAAAACTTTAAGTATCATATTTCCAAGTTGCAGATACGGTGTATAAAATTTAGGATGCACATGCGGATGTCATTTATGAGTCGAGGAATGTACAAGCGTGCAGTAATAAATGTGATTGTTTTATTTACTTTTATTATGTGTATCTACAGCAAATTATTACTAGTGACATTTTCTTATCAAGAAAAAAGTCTCTGTTAATTTACTATCTATTTTGTTACTGAACTTTGCTTCATGTTGATCATCATTTTTCTTATGTTCGGCAAAACAAATAGCTTCGGGTCACATATCTTCTTATTGCAATAAACATGAATAAATGCATTATTTCATGAAGTGAAGCAAGTATGTGTCTGAAGCTAAATTGCGTGTTTATGAGCATGATTGTTATTTTCATCCGATACAGGAGGGGTCCGACGAGATGGTGAACATGTTGTCTGGGATAAAACCACAGTAGAACGACAAAATGCTTACTTGACCAGTATGTGGATGTCCAAATCTGTCAACAAGCTATCCGAGATCCACTGTGCCGTAATAGTTGTCAGGTACACAATTTTAATTTGCAGTATAGAAATTGTAGGTGCCGTTAGGAGCTGGGGAGGAAAGGGTGTTTTGCAAAACCCATACAAAATGTTATTAAAAAATGGGGGGGGGGGGGGCAGGAGGCAAGATTTTCGGACAATCATTTGGTTCGACAACCCCCTCCCCCATTTTACCAGTCAACATCTGCGAACAACGCACTGTATGCAACGGAAAGTGTTTTACTTTTACTCATGCATTATAAATGAAAGATGATTTACATAATGTTTTGTATCAGTATCACATTGATTCTCATTCAAATTGCCCATATTTTTCTTAAACACTTTGTTGCCACCTGAAAAATGGCATTTAAAAAGATTTGTATGATGAACAATAGAACTGAAACAGATGTCACAAGTGAAAATTGTATTAAACTCCATAGAGTTATAGCTTTCAGGCCTGTCAATGGTTGAATATTTTAAATCATATCAGTATTTCCTTAAATGTCATTGCATATTCTTTACATGAAATGCATTAGTTTTTGACTTTCACAAAAAAGGCGCATCCATGTTAAAATATTCCTAACAGTTTCAGTTTGATGGGCAACAGTGTTTTTGCCAAATATGTCATATCATGCAATTTTGTTTCAAAGATACATTCCAGAGCTTTTATAGTTGTTAAGGTTACCATATTGAAATGCTCTGAAGTTGTCTAAATTCTTTTGCATTTTGTTTTGGGTTAATTTATATTTAAAGGCCCAGTCGAAAGTGAAAAATGAAATAGATGAATTATATATTAAAGGAAAGCTTACAAGCCATACATAACGATCAAACCAATTATATGCTACTTTAGTGCCTGTCAGACGAGTAACAGCTCTCTGAAAACTCGAAATCTAAAACTTTTAAAATCGGGAGTTGTTGACCTAAAAATTAGCTATCGAATTGATGACATCATCGTATGTGGAGTACGCATATTCACAATGACTTTGTAGTAATTAAGCAAGGCTCCTCGCCTCAGCTATTATAGGCAAGCCGATTCAATTCAATTTCAAGTTAATTTATTTCCACAGATTCATAAAAAGACAATATAAATTACCATCGAACCTGCAGGGGGTGATAAAAAAACCACAGAGGTTTATCGGGGAACATCCCTCGCTTAAATTATATATGAAAATACAAAAAAAAAAAAGAAGGAAATTAAACAATAAACACATACAATATATACACACACACACATATATATATATATATATATATATATATATATATATATATATTACAAGTAAATCTATGTGTGGGGGTGATTAGTAGTGGGGTGGTGGTACCAATACAAACAATATATAGAGGGAATAAACGATATGTAAAGAAAAATAGTGAGAAAAATAGAAAGAAACACCATACAAACTAAGTCTTCTCCTGATACTATATAATTTTTGTCTTCATATTAAGAACAAGTTTATTAGCCGTGAACCACCTGCAAACTTTACTTAGTTCTTGGTTTAAAACCTCATTTAAATATTGCACAGTTTTCCCCGATAATAACTTATTGGTGTCATCAGCAAATAAAACAAAATTTAGCTGGTCTGACACAAAGTGTATATCATTTATAAACAACAAAAACAATAAAGGACCAAAAACACTGCCTTGGGGTACTCATGTTGAAAGGACCTGTCATTGAGAACAAACACTATTACAGTTAACAAACTGTTTCCTATTCAAAAGGTAATTGTTGAACCATTTGAGAGGAGTGACCCGTATGCCATAAAACGATAGCTTTTGTAACAGTGTAGAATGGTTAATACAGTCAAATACTTTAGATAAATCAAGGAATATACCAACAGGAATTCGCTTATTTTCAATGCCTGAGTTACAAAGGAAAATGATACGTGAGATGTTGATTAGGCAGTTGAAGTTCGTGGGTCACATTACACGTAAAGAAGGCCTAGAGAATCTTGCTTTGACAGGGGGAATTGTGGGAAGAAGGAGTAGGGGAAGAAGGAGGATACTTTGGATGGACAGTCTGCAGAAATTGTTGGAAGAGAGAGGGGTAAAAGAACTGGAAGTGGTACTAATACAGAAGGCTAGGAGCCGAGGGTTGTGGAACAGCATGATCGCCAAAATCAAACGTTATGGCACTTAGAGAGAGAGAGAGAGAGTTACAAGATTTAAAAATTCTGTTAGAGCCATGGATGTTGAGTGTTTTTCAAGAAATCCAAATTGTTTAGTTTATAAAATATCATTCCTATCCAAGTAGTTAATAAGACGTTTGTAGACCAATTTTTCTAAAAAAAGTGAAAATATTGGCAAATAGAAATAGGTCTCTATAATTGTCTATTTTTTCTTTACAGAAATTCTTATGAAGGGTATTACTTGTGCTAAATTTGATTGATATGGAAGTTGTCCTGAAATAAAAGACTCAATAAAAATATGACAAAGGTGCTTGGCATAAACATGTACAGTTTTCTTTACAATCTCTGGTTAAATATCATTATTTCCGGCACTTTTATTTGCTTTAAAACTACAAACAATGTCAATTTTTTTTCCTTCCCTCAATAGCAGGTTTTAAGAAAAATGAATTAGAATAATTACCTTGTAAAAAAAAGTTATATAGTTATATAGCCTAGTGAGGCTCCATTAGAAACAACATAGTCATTCTCTGTAATTCTTATATTGTCATAAATGTTGTCACCTTCATTTAAAATATAATCGGAATTTACACCTTGGGGTTTCCTCATTATTTCATTAATATACCTCCAAGTATTTTGCATATTGCCTCTCACGGACTGAAACTTAATCAAATAATATTCTTTTTTCTATTCTTATTCAGCTTATTTCGAAAAGTTTTAAAATTACGTTCTCTCTCCAGTAATGGTTTGGAAAGATATGTGTTATACAATCTATTCTTCTTTTTGCACCGTTTGTTAATTTCGTAAGTAATCCATGGTTTAACTCCTTTCCTTAATGTAATCTTTTAAAGTGGAAAACAGGAATCATATATGTTTTTAAAAGCATCCATGAATATATTTTACTTCATATCAACATCAGATGTATTATACATATTTTGACAATTCAAGGTACTGAACTTTTTATTGAATAATTGAAATCCAAGGTTGGTTATTTTGCGTTTATAAAATACTCTTTCGGAATTCACTGGTTTATTCCAAGAGACAGAGAGAGGGAGAGAGAGAGAGGGTGGCAAATATAGGTAAATGGTCTGTTATATCAGTCAGTAGAATACCAAATTTTAAACTTTATGTACTGTATTTGAAAAAATGTTATCAATAAGTGTTGCACTGTCCTTAGTAATTATAGTTGGATTATAAATAATTGGGAAAAAATGATGAGATGCCATTAGTTCGGCAAATTTACATAAAGGCACACATCTATTTGGAGTTTGGATAACACTGTATAGATATCATTGATGAATATCCAAACCTATTGATCAGGCGGGCTATACATAGCTCCGATTAGAATATATTTGTCACTCTATCTTGGAATTTCAATAAAGATCATTTCCTATTGTTCGTTTACCACAGTAAGATTAGGATGAAAATATTTTAAATTATTGTGTATCA